TGCTCCAATTTGCACCCATTACCCCTTGTCCTATCACTGGTCATCACTGAGAAAAGCCTAACTCCATCTCCCTGACACTCACCCCTTACATATTTGTAAACATTGATGAGGTCACCCCTCAGTCTCCTTTTCTCCAAGCTAAAGAGACCCAGCTCCCTCAGTTCACACACAAGGGGATGATGGGAAACCATGAAGCAGCTTTTGCCCCCCCGGGAGCCTGGATTGCCCCAGGGATGTGACCTTTGACCTTTTTATTGCCCAAAAAAATTTTGCTGATGGAGAAGACAGGCCAGAAAAAAATGGATTTCCCCAGCCCTTGGCAATGGTGAAGGCTGAGGAGCTGTGATGTCATTTAATGGTGTCATCTGCATCATTAATGAACTAAATTCCAACTATGATATTAATATGTTACTATAACTAATATTAATATTACCAGTATGATTAATATAGTTATATCTATTCTAATAATCCTTCTACAAACATAATTATACCCATAAGTTTTCTTTAATACATATGATGTATTATCTCTTCTATTACATAAATTACAAGCTAATTATTAGCTAGCAAATATTTTCTTCTAAATTATTGATATTTTAAAAAAATTCTATTTATAATGAGGGAGGATCCAGGCTGGAAAAAAAAACAACCCTGAATTTTCCCAGATTTGGGGAGGTTTAGGAACTATGGGTTGTGTGAGCTTAATGATTCTGATAATTATTATAAGAATAATAGCACAACTTATTACTAGAATTATTAGCATCATTATTATGAATTTAATTCTTATTATCAGTGTTATTATTCTTATCACTATTATCACTATCACATCCCCGCTGTTATAATGATTCTTTAAAAAATGTATGTATATTTAGAATTAATATAAAAGTTGTATCATTAATTTTATTTATTATTTTTTAAGTGATATCATTATTTTATTATCAAAACGACCAGACAATTATTAGCTATCATATATTTTTTAGTGTTTTCTCTCAATGTAATGTTTTATGTTCTCCATAGAACGACATAAAATTCCAACAGAATTCCTGTTCTTTCCCCTCTCTCTCTCTTTGATTCTCTTCCAGGGCTCAGTATCATTAATAATATTAATAATCGTATTCATAATATCCCTAATTTTTCCCCCATGTGTGCCTATCTCCTGCTGTCATTTATCCCTCCCCTTGGTGGGATTTAGGGATTTATGTTTTTATCCCACAGGAGCTATTTTTAAGCATCCTCCTTGGACCAGGTCTGATTTCTCCCATTGTTTTTTTTCCACTGGAGAAGGGAAATTGAATTTTATTTATTTATTTATATTTAATTCCTGGGAAGACTTATCGGCCGGAGCAGAATTTCCTGCCTGGAGCTGGAAGGCCCTGTCCGGAAATGTCACCAAGGAGGGAGGAGGAACAGATGCTAAAAATACACACACCCCTACCCCCCCCGCCTTGTGTTTTCCTCTTTCTCCTGGAAAAATCCCACAAAACCCTTCAAGTCCATTGGGAAGAGGGTGAAGCTCCTTAAAGCCTTCAAACCTTGGGATTTTTCCCCAAATCCCAGGGTGGCAGCATCTTCATCCCCTCCTTCCCCCTCTCCCTGCATCCCAATCCAGAGCATCCCTGGGGCTCTGGCAGGAGCGGGGCCAGCTGGGGCCACTGGATCGATGGGAACTGGGATATGGGGATGGAGCCACCAGGATGCAGGTCCCTGGTGGCATTCCCTCAGGGGAAAAAAAACAAAGCCACCACATCAAACCCCACCTCTCCTGATCTGATAATTTTTTTCTGGCTGAGCCTTATGGGCAAAGCCAGGGAATAAGCTTCCTTTGGAGCATCCTTCCCTATCTGTTGTATCCAGCTGGGTATCCCAGTGTCCCTTCCTGGGGAGGGATGCTTTGATGGGGCATTTGGGGTGGGATGGAGTATTTGGAGTGGGATGTTTGGGATGGGTTGGGTGTTTCTGATGAAATGAGGTGTTTGGGATGAGATGGGATGTTTGGGATAGTGTATTTGGGATAGAGTACTTGGGATGGAGTATTTGGGATGGGATGTTTGGCTGTGGATGGGGGGGTTCAGGGAAGGCCACCCATGAATAACCCAAGTTTAGCGCTAGCAGCAAAAATTAGGGATTCTAGGATAACAGGGAGGACTTGTAGGGTGCATGTGGGTGCTCTCCTCCAAAATAAATCCTGTGGGATGGAGGATCCAGGGCAGCATCATGGGGGGAGGAGGGGACAGACACCTCAATACTGAGCAAAAAGAGGTGTCCAGCTGCTGGACAGGTGGCATCTCCTGGGAGAGCAGGAATTCTGGATGGAATCTTGGTAGGGAAAATGGGGCTAGAAGGGAACAGGACTGTCCCACATCCTCCGGAGTGGCCAGAAAAGCCCTTTCCCAAGGATCAGAAACATCCTCCAGGCCCAACCTCCCAGGATCACTGAGTTTGCCCTTGGGATTGAGGAAGTTTTCCAACACCAGGTGGGTTTTTCTCAGGAAAACTGAGAACATTTTTCCCTCCCTCTCCGGCGGTGGGCAGGGGTGTCCTCAGCAGCACTGGAGGTCCACGTGGGGACAGGTGCCGTCTTCTCGGTGGAGGGGCAGCAGGCGGGGCCGGCCGCCTGGTTTACCAGACACTCCCCGAGG